TTTTTTTGAGCATGCATGGTTAAAAAATAAGGGAAAATGTTTTGGTTTATGTGTAATATTAATTTATTGGAGAATTTATGATTCATAATAAGAGAGAGAAAAATGAATTATAATTTAATGGGGAATAATGGGGGCCAAACGTGGGCTTAATGTGGTGTCATTAAATTGTGTTGCTTATTCTTATTCATTCATGTTTTGAATATTGCTCGAGCATTCAGATCATTCTGTTTTATTTGGTTCAACCAACTATAGTTGGTTTTATAGTCATAATATGAGCTCACTACGTGCTTTCTTTGTGGATTTCTCCTCACAGAAAAGCTGAGATGCGAACCGTGAGTGAAGCAACAAATGCTCAGGTGGCATGGTTCTCCTCGGGAATCTGCATTGTGGTTTCAATTGCCCAGATTTCATACTTGAAGCAGTACTTCCATAAGAAGAAGCTAATTTAGGTTTTGTTAATCTAAGGGCTTGTTTGATATAATTTATTTGGAAATAATGAGTTATTGAATAGTATTTTTTGTAAAATAAGTGATTAAAAAGTAAGGAAACTTTATTAATTTATGTATAGAATATTTTATGGTTTGAATTTGTAATAGAAAATGATTCTGTAACGAATAATTTAAATTTTTAAAAAATGACAAATAGGGGCTTAATCTAAGGGCTTGTTTGATAGAATTTATTTGGAAATAATGAGTTATTGAATAGTATTTTTTGGAAAATGTGTGGTTAAAAAGTAAGAAAATTTTTATTAGTTTATGTATAGAATATTTTATTGTGTAAATACGTGGTAGAGAATGATCCTGTAACAAACAATTTAAATTTTTAAAGAATTACAAATAGGGGCTAAATTATATTATATGGTACCGGATGAAATTTTCGATCTTTTGTTCCCCTATCCATCCACCATGAATTTGGACGTGAAAGTAGTAATTGTGACATTTTCTCTCTTTGAGATGATGAGGAAATTGTAATTGTAGATTAAGATTATGAAGGGTTCTTTTTGCTCTCCCTCCTAAATTAGTACACATACAGTGATGAGCACACATAAATGGTTCATTTTATTAGGTTAATTATAACTAGAGAATATTAAGGGTGTGTTTGTCACCCATTATTTGGGAAGAATGTACTATAAAATAGTGATTGATGTTGAAATATGTGGTTAAAAAAGAATGAATTTTTTTTATTTACGTGTAATATCATTTTAATGAAGAATGTTTAGTTGAAAATAAAATCTGTAGCAAAAATAATGAAAAAGAATGGAAAAAAATGGATGACGACCAGGGGCTAAGGAACAATATGCATCTTAAATTTTGTCAATTGTTAGTAAGTCAAGTCAATAATGTGGCCAATGCTATATATTAAGCACTTATCTAGTGGAACTTTTTCCCCCAAATTCTGAGCGCTTTTTTGACCATTAAAATGTCAGGTGGAACCAAATGTGAGAGCCAAAGTCAACAAAGATGGCTGGTTTTGGTCTGCAACGGTCTAAAAAGTAATTCTATTTTCCTAGAAAGCAACTCCAGACACGCACTAAACTTTTCCAACAAAAATGGCTAGTTTTGGTCTGCAACGATCTAAAAAGTAATTCTTTCCCCCTAGAAAGCAACTCCAGAGAGGCACTAAACTTTCTCAATTAATATTATTCTTTTACAGAGCGATGGTTAAAATTCTCATTGGCAAAGTTCATGAGATTTATAGGGTGTATTCAGTGGCTTTTGAGCAGTAATATCAGATAATGTGGAAAATCTTATCTAGAACATTAGAACATTATCCCATTGGAAAATCCATGGATTGAAGATCTCCCATGAAAAATGGAGTAAGAGAAATCACAAAGACTAAACTCTTAGACAACATTATTCAATCAAAATAATCTTACGATTCATGTATCTAAATCTGCAAATGTCTTCAAAGAAATCTTCTGCACTACTATGGGGCTCTTCATTTGAAGAATCTTTATCGTCATGTTCTTTAAATTCTTGGCTTAATTTACTAAAGACTCCAAAGTATTCATCTTCTATTCAGCATTCAAAGGTGATCTGACAGTAATCACAACCTTTTCAAGGCACGGAATTGAAAATCTTGAGTCCACCTATAAAAAGAGTAAAGTTTCTTCAGTAAATTTAAAGGGTATAAAAAATCCTACGGCAATTGAACTTGGGTCAAGTTGGCTGTGTCCATCAATTTGATTAACAATAAATATGATGTCACACTTTACTTGGCACCCTAATTGGCACATAACTAATGGAAATAGATAATGTGACCGAGTTAAAACAAAGTTTTAAGTGATGAACTAGAACATTCTTGCTATAAGTTTAGCGACAATTGATGCATTTACCCAAACGATAACACATATATGCAATGAACTCACGTTTTTCAAGCTGTTCTTTTGGCAAAGAGCAGCAAACATGGCACCATGAATGTCAAAAGTTTGCAGCTTTGGGTGGCTGTTAAAGAAGTCGACAAAATCAATCTCCAGAAATGGCACGAGTTCTTCAAAATCCCCAGTGAATTCCACTTTCATGTATAGTTGCTTCACGTGTCATTTGACAGTAAAAGTTTGTCAGGAATGAAGACTCGATTCTATGTATCAAACTCTTTAACAGGAAAGTAAATGAGATAAATTGTAAAAACGGTTATAAAATACCTATATTGTTGGAAATTGAGAGATTTTTCAAGCATCGAGTTTCGTGGACTTGGATGAAACTACTACCTTGTACTTCAAAGGATTCGAGCTTTGGTGAATTGAGCAAAAGCGAGCAGTTACCATTTCCAGTAAAATCAAGCTTACAATGCTCCAGATGAGGAAGCTCAATTGAAAGAGACTTCAAACCCTCACAATCAAGAAGTAACAGGTGAGTCAAATTAGGACAAGCGCGAAGTGCATCAGATAGCGCTGTGTCCTTCAATCTAGCACCAACTACTTCGAGATTTCTTAGCCTAAGGAAAACATCCCATTGGGGCGAATCAATCATCAGCACACCCCAAAGCTTAAGGGACTCCAAATTCCATGCAGACCCAATGCAATCCAACTTTGAAGAGATTTCAATAAGATTCTGGTGTGGGGTTATGGTATTCATTCGAAGCTCGAGGTCCTTCAAGAAGGGTCCTGTTATCGACAGCCATGACCTGAGCCCTACGCTGGAAAATGGGCAATGGTTATGGTATTCATTCGAAGCTCGAGGTCCTTCAAGAAGGGTCCTGTTATCGACAGCCATGACCTGAGCCCTACGCTGGAAAATGGGCAATAAACTACAAGTTCCTCTAATTCAGCAATTGAAGAAATCATTTGCATCACAATGGCATCGGGGGTAATTCCATTGGTAAGTGACTATGCCAATATTGGTATACCCCGAGGAGTTTATCCCGAGGACTCAATATATACCCCACAATCATTTCTCTTCTATGGTCCTCGGGATATCGTAGTCCTCGAGATATCTCGAGGACACATTTACCTTCTCTCAATGTCCTCGAGAATAGTCATCGAGACATACACTACCAACATGCCTCTTAAGACCTGGGTACCTAACTAACAAACCTAAACACCCAAGGATTCTACATCAACCCTGACACCACTTGTCAAACAATTCCATTACAAGTAGGACACTCTTTATAATAGAAATTCCCTTGGATAAAAACATCCAATCAACACAATCCTACTAGGAGTACACTACCTACTCCTATTAAAGCAGAACCTTGGGCCATTATTCAGGTACGTTTTTCATTGTTCTTCAGCACATAGCCTCACGCATATATTTCTCTTTCTGACTTAAGCATCGGAGGGGCGACGAGAACACACCTCGTTGCCTTTGTTTCAGGTATCGGAAGATCACGTTCGTGCTCCTCATCCGTCATCAAGCTCGGGAAATCTACAGGTACGATTTTTGGTAGCATCATTGGCGCCGTCTGTGGGAAGCGCTACCAAAAGCCATGGTAAACACACAATCAGGTCTTCCACCCGCAAGCTCATTCGCTCCTAACCACCCCCCTCCTGAGAATATCCCTGTTCCTCAAGAGGAATCATCAAAAGTGCCAGAACCCCAGCCGGCAGTCGTCACTACTGGAGCCTTTGAAGAGCTCAGACAACAGGTCGCCACACTG